TGGCGGCCACCGGAGTCCTTCTCCACTGCCAGTCCCTACTGTCACCCGCCGCCGTGGTGAGTGAGGGGAGGCCCTGCTGACCTGCCTGCTGGCATCTCGGCGTGTATGGAGCGCCTCCTGCGTGCCACTGCCGGGCTCTGGGGGTCCAGCTGTGAAGGGAGCAGCCCCTGCTCCCAGGGGTCTCTGTTCTCACGGGAGGAGAGGAGCAGATACAGGAATGACATGCAGACCTGTGGTTCTCAGCCAGGGGCCTCGCAGCATCTGGAGTCAGTTCCGCTGTAACAACCGAGGGAGGGGGTGGGAGGGGTGCGGGGGCATCTGTAATAGCACGGAGAGGGCAGGGATGCGGGAAACATCCCACAGGGGCCCAGAGACCACCACGCCCAGTTGGGTTCCTCAAGCCCCAGCTGCTGGCTGGTGGGAATCACGGCCTTGGAGTGCCCTCTGCTGGCCACCGCTGCTGTGTGCAGGTGCCTGCCAAGCAGGAGACCGCTTTCCCTTGGTTCCTGGAAAGTGCAGACCTGGCCAGAAGAGCAGCTGGCAGCCCACAGCTGGAGGTGTCCAGGCTCACCTCAGATGGGGACACTGGCCCAATTTGTTCATGCTCTAGACACCGGAGGTGCCCGCTGAGCTCAGTGCTGAGTTTTCTAAAAGAACTTGTTTGTGGTTATGGGGAAGTGGTTTGTCTAGGGGGATAGTAGGTAGAGGGGAGACCTCCTGGGAAAAGACTTGGTGCCTTACCTCGAGTGGTGGCAGGGATGGTGGAGGGAGGTGGGTGGGTCTGGATCACGTCTGGTGGCCAACCCACTGGCCTTCCTTGGGGCGTGTGTGGGCGAGGGAAGGCGTGGAGAAACCCTGGCAGGCCTAGCGCTCAGGCTGCAGGAGAATGCGTTGCTGCAGGCTAAGGGGGATTGGCTGCAGGAGGTCCAGGCGGGAGGTGGAACCCTTATATGGGTGTATCTGGTTGAGGGGTTGAGTTAGAAGCTGGGTGTGGCTGTTTAGGTGAACGAGGAAATGACTTTACCCAGACCCTCAGTGAGTGAGGGCAGTGGGTTCTGACCCTGCGAGGCACAGGCAGGTGCAGTCCTGCGGCCTGCTGTGGGGAGGCCTGCCCAGGACCTGGTGCCCAGTCCTGCGGCCTGCTGTGGGGAGGCCTGCCCAGGGCCTGGTGCCCTGTAGACCCCTGCCTGGCGCGTTGGCTAGACTCAAGTCACAGCATCTTGGAGAGAACCCAGGCAGGCAGCTGAGCCCCCAGCCCTGTTCCCTTGCTGCAGAGGGAGGAGCGGACCATGCTGGAGGACCTCTGGGGGACCCTGTCAGAGCTGGACAACGTCTCCTTCTCCTTTAAGCAGCTGGACGAAAACTACGTGGCCAGTGAGTGATTCTCCCACCCTCGCTGTGAAAGTTGGGGTTCTGGGGTGGAAGGGACTGCTCTGGGGCCACCCAGTTCTTTCTTTGGCCCTCAGACCAGAAGCCAAAGATTGTCCCAGCTCCCAGTGCCGTCCAGCCCCATGTCCCTGGGGCCAGGTGGTGGCACAGAGGAGAGCGTGCTGCTTTGCCATGGTCCCCCATGGGAAGTTCCCTGTTCAGGGCTGGCGACCCCCCGAGTGCACCTGGGCTGCCTGACGCTAGGGCGGGATATAGCACCCAAACCCAACTGAGGGTGCTGCTTCTCCCTCTCTCTCACTGTCTTGCTCATGGAAGAGAGAAATAAAATTAAGAGCAAACAAGACCTTGCCCCCACAACATGAGTCTCAAAGCGAACCTTGGGGCACATGTGGAAAAAGAGGAGCATTCCTCCGTGTAAACTGCACCATCCTCCTCTGCTCGCTAGAGAATGGCCAGTACCTGGATCTTGAAAGTTCCACCCTAGAGGGACCGGCGTGATGTTACGTTGCCAGACTCCCACGTGGTCCACTGTGGTTTGAGTCCTGGACATGGCTTAAAAAACTCACTCCGGGCGAGTGTGCATGCGTGCTCAAGATCCCAAGAGGAGAATGGGGGAGAAGGGATTGTGGTGTGGCCATCCCCCCTGGGGGGTGATTTTTCACTTTCTGTCTCTGTCATTTTCTTTCCTGTGAGCACATGAGCCCTATAGCAAAAATCTCTCTCTCTCTGTTTATATATTTATTCCATCCTAGAGGTGCCCTTCTCTGGGGGAGAAGATAAGATTTTTAAAGGGCTTATACCATAGTTAGCTAAATTTCTTTTCTCCTCTCTCTCTCTTTCCACACCACAGTTGGGTCAAGTTTTCACCTTCTTGATCCCCCCACAACTATAGTGAGACACGTGAATGTTGAGGGAGTTTCAGGCCATAGAAGCATGTATTGTGCTTTATATGTCAAAATAGCACTTTGTTTTTTATACCCTTCTTTCTAAGAACCAAGTTTCACCTCCTTGGGGGCCACATCCCCCTGTTGAAAAGGCAAGGACTAGAGTCTAGAGGGCTGGTAGGTTTCTTCTTGGGTGTCAGTGTGAGTTCACTGCCTGTCTGGAGGCTGAACTGGACTCAGGAGAACTTCTGATTGATTAGTCATGCCTGCCACAGGTACAGGCTGGGGCCTGAGTGCCAGGTTTTGCTGCCCCCAACACAGGCTCTTCCTTTGGGGTGTGAGTAAGAGACAGGCTCTGTTTGAAGGCAGCGCTGGCCAGGGAGGGCCAGGGGCTCCCAGGCGAAAGGTGAGGTGAGAGGAGCACTGATGAGGCCCTGACTCCTCAGGGTCAGGCCCAAGAATTAAGCAGTGGAAACTAGGAGCTGTTGAAGTAGGCAGACAGGGAGGTCAGAGGCCGCTCTTCAGAGTGTGGGTGATGGGGCTGTCTGCTGCTACCCCTGGGGAGTGGGAGGGCAGGGAGGTCTGAGGCTATCCCTCCCAGGTGCCACCTGGGTGAAGGGAGGTCGGAACGTTCCAGCCATCCTGCCTCACCCTGTCTTCCCACAGACACCAACGTCTTCTACCACATTGAGGGTAGCCGGCAGGCCCTGAGGGTCGTCTTCTACCTCGACAGCTACCACTTCTCCAAGCTGCCCTCCCGCCTGGAGAGCGGGGCCAGCCTCAGGCTGCACACTGTGCTCTTCACAAAAGGTGGGCTTTGGGTCCCCAGTGGGGCCATGGTGTACGGGCCAGGGCCGCAGCGATGCCTAGAGCCAGCCCCTGCCCTCCTCCTCCTCTCGTCCAGCTCTGGAGAATGTGGAGGGCCCAGGCTGCCCGGCCACGGAGGAGCTGCAGCAGGAGATCAACGCGCAGTCCCTGGAGAAGGTGCAGCAGTACTACCGCAAGCTCCGGTACGCCCCGGCTCCAGGGGTTGGGGTTCAGGCTGGGTGGGGTCACACTTGGGTGCCAGCATGTGTGAGGGGCAGCTGGACACCCTTCCCTGAGCGCCTACTCTGAGCCAGGCCTGTGGCCTGCACGAGCTGCTCACAGCACTCTGCAGGGTAGGCTGGTCTAACCCGCGTGACAGACGAGGAAACTGAGGCTCTGAGAGCTCACGCTGCCCAGGGTGGCTGAGTTTTGACCTCTTTCTCTTTGGCTTCAACATGGATCCTGCCTGCTGAGGGGAGGCTCCTGAGCCGTTCCATATACCATCTGTCCATCTGTTTATTTATTTTTTAGGTTTTGCCAAAGGGTGCAGGTGCTCACCAGAGAGAGACAGTGAGAGGAAAAGTCAGAAATCACTTCCTGTGGGGGATGGCCACTCCGCAATCCCATCTCCTCCTGTTTTCCCCCCGGGGTTTGGGGCACACATGCACATGCATCTGGCATGTTTTTCAAGCCAACGGGGTCTGGAACTTAAACCATGGTCAGCTATGTGGGAGTCCAGTGTCTTAACTGCCATGCCAGGTGCTGGCCCCAACCAGATCGTTTAAACCTGGCGTCTGTTCGGGCTGATCACTGCTGTCTGTGTGTTCTGGACCACTTGGGGGTGTTTTGGATACCGCCTCTGTGATCATGTGTTCGTCCCCCTTCCCATGGCATGTGCTAGCTGAGCCCGGGGCCAGGCCTGCTCTCTGCCGGGTGCTTGCTTGGCGGTCAGCAGTGGGTGGAATAACTTCCTCCTCTCCGTGGAGCAGCTCCTGGAGCCATCTGGTGTGGATAAAGTTTTATTAGCACACAGCTGCGCTCATTCCGTTAGGTCTTGTTAGGCTGCTTCTGTGCTGCAGCAGCCGCCGAGTACGGTGCAGTGGACCTGGTTCAAGAGCCTGAAACAGGCGCTGTTGAACCTTTTAAGAAAGGATTTTCAGGCCAGCAGATGGTGTAGCAGTTACATCACCGAACTCCCACATGGCTGACCAAGGTTCGAGTCCCAGACCTGGTGGCTTGAAAATCGCACTGGGCACATGTGCATGCATGCCCAAGATCCTGGGAGGAGAACGGAGGAGAAGGGATTGTGGCATGGCCGTCCCCCCTTGGGGATGATTTCTCACTTTCCCTCTCTCTCTGTATCTCTCTCTCCATCAAGAGCATGTGCCCTAAGGCAAAAACCACTTAAAAATTTCAAAAAGAAAGGGTCGCCAGCCCCTGCCCCAGAGGGAGTGGCGTAGGGAGCGGCGGGCGGGAGCAGTGTCGCGTGCCGCCCAGCCCACGCCATGAGGGTAGTTCGGACCGGGGTGGCGAGTGAGGGCTCTGAGGCTGCTTTGGGCAGCGTAGAGTCTGAGGGGTGCCAGGGTGGCTTCTTGCTTTCCCTGTGGGGCAGGTGGACAAACCAGTGACCGTGGGTGGGGACAGCTGTGCACAAGACCTCAGGGATTTCGTTCTGCAGGGGCTTGGGGTGAGAGGCTGTGGCTGTAGGAGCTGTGATGGGGTGGGGTGCGGCTGGGAAGGCTGGATGTTGAGCACCACCCTCAGGCCCCTCCTTCTCTTGCAGGGCCTTTTACTTGGAGCGGTCCAACCTGCCCACGGATGGCAGTGCCACGGTGGTGAAGATAGATCAGGTGTGCCCACCCTCCCTTCCCCTGCCTCAGCAGCCTGGCCAGGGTGAAGCGGTCAGGTTCAGGGCAAAGCAGAGATCCAGGGTCACACTCCAGCCAGAATCCTGGCTATGAAGTCCTCCTCCAGAAAGCTCCCCAGGATTGCCCCCTTCGCCCTCAGGGCAGGTGATTCCGTGGAGGTTCTATCTGGCTGGCACCCCCTCACCTGGGCCTCTCTGGTTTCTCTGGGACTGGAGACCCACATGAATCATGGTAGTGGGCCCCACACCAGATGTGGCCAGCAAGTGGTCTTTTTGTTTGTTTGCTTCAAGTTTGTTGCTAACATTCAGAAATCTGATTTCTCCATGAAATCGAGCTTGGCGCTTTCCTCGAGAGTGGAAGGTTGGCCCGCCTTCCTGTGTGGCCTGGGGGCCTGAGTGGGGTGCGGCTTGCCTGTTCCGAGGGTCCCATGCTTGCCTGTTTGGCTTCCCCGCCTCTCACCCACGAGATGTCTCTCCTGGCCTCCTGGTTTTCCAGGCTCAGGCTGGCCTTGAACTTGACAGTGGTTCTGGGGTGCTGGCCTTAGGCCTGAGAAGCAGGGGACTCTGAGAAAACAGTGGATGCCGCCCTTTGGGAGTTTGTGGTCTGCCTGGTCAAGACTCCCCAGGGACATAAAGTGTAAACGAGCCTCCATTTCGAACCCGTGTGGTGGTGGGGAAGCTGGACAGGAGGGACACCCTTGGGGAGGGACTGGCTACCCAAGCTGATCAGGAGAGCGTGGAGAGGATGGGAGCAGGCACTTAGGCTGGGCAGGCAGAGAGACTGGCTGGTGGGTACCAAATGCCAGCTTGTAGGGCCCTGGGGAGCCCTACAAGCCCTGGTTCTTGAGCAGGAGTTGTGTAAGGTTAGTTGGATGGTAACCCCCAGAGAGTGAGCGGGATAGGGGGTCAGCTGCAGTGACAGCTGGATTAGGAGGCAGTGGGGAGGAAGGCCGGGTGGGGTGGGGGTCAGCCCCCCAATTGTCTGGGTGCGTGTCGCACACTTGCAGTTGATACGCCCCATGAACGCCCTGGATGAGCTCTGCCGCCTCCTGAAGTCCTTCGTCCACCCCAAAGCTGGTGCAGGAGGGAGCGTGGGTGCCGGCCTCATCCCCATCTCCTCGGAGCTCTGCTACCGCCTGGGCGCCTGCCAGATCACCATGTGCGGCACAGGGATGCAGAGGTGAGCTGTGGGGCCCTGAGCTGGGAGGGGCTGGCCGGCGTCTGCGATCTGGGGCTCAGGGCTGGGAGGCAGGAGGCTGGGTGGGGATGCTGCCCCAGCTCTCCCTGGACCTCAGTCTGCTTGCCTGTGAGATGGGCTGGTGGGAGGAGGCCGTGCTGAGAGGGCCGTGGACTCTGGGTTCTCCGCTGCGGTCTGCGCACAGGGGTACAGTGTGCCCTGCCAGCTCTGCGGTCAGCCCTCCCTCATCTTCTGGATGCTCTCCTGCCCCTGCCCCTGTCCCCATTGCTTGTCCTCTGTGAGCCCTCCCTGACCTCCTTGGTGGTGGCCCTCGTCTCCCCGTGGGCGTTTGTGTGGTTTCTGTGGCTGCCCTGCCCCAGTGCAGGCCAGCTCTGGGAGGCAGGGCCCGCTGCTCTGCTGTGTCCCAGCCCAGGGCAGTGCCTTGGCATGGCAGGGCCCGGTGTCCGTGCTCCACGTGGACCAACTCGCGTCCCTGTGCAGCCAGTCAGGGTAGAGGGCCTGTTCTGCGGTTCCCATCCAGAGGCAGGCTTGTTCCCCAGGGGACATTTTTGGCATCATAATTGGAGGGCATGCTGACATTGAGGACTGGAGGTCCTACCCCTCCTGGGAGCACTGGTTCTGGTCTTCACCGTTGAGGTCCCTCTGTCCAGTTAGGGAAACGGAGGCCTCTGTGCAGGACCCACTGGCAGGGCCCGTGTTTTGGAGTCGGCTGGAACAGACAGGGCTGAGCGAGCGCGTCCTCCTCATACCCTGCTGCGGCTTCGTGAGACTGTTGGGGAGTCGCCCGTTTGGTCCCTTGGCAGGTCTGGGCCTGCTCTGGGCCAGGCATGGGGTGTGTCCCAGAGTTCTGTGCGGCCTGCGGGTGGGCGCAGGGCTGGCGAGCCGGTGTAGCGGCTAGGGGGAGAGGAGGCCTCATTGGTGGCCTGGCGAACATGGGGGTGTCTGTGGGGCGGAGAGTGGGTGCCAGGAAGCACCTGCCCACCACTCGCCCTCTCGCCCACACTGCAGGAGCACCCTGAGCGTGTCCCTGGAGCAGGCGGCCATCCTGGCGCGGAGCCACGGGCTGCTGCCCAAGTGCATCATGCAGGCCACGGACATCATGCGGAAGCAGGTGAGCTGGCCAGTGTGGGGCCAGGGTGCTGCTCATTTCACTGGCCTGGGAGCAGGGGCTGACCGCCCACAGCCCGGACTCTGGCCTTCTCCCATCTGGGGAGGCCCATGGACCTGCAGCCTTCCATCAGGCCTCTCCCCACTTACGCAGGCTTGCTCGAGTGCCAGGACCTCTTCACACACCCCAGGCCTGATGGTTCTTTCTTTCCAGGGCCCCAGGGTGGAGATTCTGGCCAAGAACCTGCGAGTCAAGGATCAGATGCCCCAGGGTGCCCCGCGGTAAGCGACACTCCCTCTCCTTCCTCCTCCCCTGCTTCTGTCCTCCCAGAAGGCCAACACCGGGCCCCATGCCTGCATCACAGCCTCAGCCAGGCCAACCCGCCAGTCTTCAGCTGGGGCGTCCTCTCTCCTTGGTGGGGACCCCACTTTGGAGAAAGGCAAATTTGCCTCAGTCCGTTCCCTCTCCAGGGAGCTCCTGCTTCAGTGGGGAAGATGAGACAAGGCCCCCAAGTGACCCCGGGGGCCACTGTGCCACTTCGGCCAGGCCTACCTGCCTCCTCCCGTCTTCCCTGCTCCTCCCTCATAGAGTGGGCCTCACGGGGTTCTGCACAGGTGCCTTCTGGGATCTAAACTCGCATCAGTCCGTCTCGCCCCCTTCCCACCGCTCCAGCCTGCGTCAGCACCCGCCCACAAGTCCTAGATGCCATTTATTCTGACGCGCTGGGACTCACTGACGGTGTGGAAATAGCTCCTGTGGGCTCTCCCGGCAGCTCCCTGCCATCCCAGGTCACCACGGCCTTGTCCCGACCAGAATGCTGCCCTGGTGTGAGGTGACGCCCGTACGGACCAGGCTGCCTCTTGCTTTCATCCCCCCCACCTTGTTTTAATCACCACAAGGCGTGGGTGCTCGCCGGAGAGCCAGACGGAGAGCGAGCACCCCCGTGGGCACCGTCATGCCCCGGCCCCTCTCCTCTGTTTCTCCATTCTGCAGGGACTTCGGGCATGCCGCACATATGTGTCCAGCATGTTCCCCAACCGCCGGGGCTGGGACTCAAACCCTGGTCTGTCATGTAGGAGCTGGTTCCCCTAACCACTAGGCCACAAGGCCAGCCTGCCCTCATCCCTTCTTTATATTTCTATGGCATTTGGCCTGCTCAGACACTGTTCCAGCCCCTACTCGTCTGACTCCTTCCCAGAGGCTCAGAGGGGTTGAGAGTCTTGTCCAAAGTCACACAGCTAGTCTGTGGCAGAGCTGGGATTGTGCGCGCAGGCTGTCTAGCCCTGAGGCTGAGTTCTAATCACTGCTTGTCCCCTGCTGCCACGGCTGCCTCTTGTCTGGTCCCCCTGCTGTAAAACAGTCACTTGCCATGGTCGGTCTGACTGCCTCCTGTGTAAACCCAGCAGCAGCTGCTTCTCTTCCTGGTGTGCCCCTCTAGAAAACGGGGCGGCTGTCTGGGTGCTGCGCGTCGAGGTCCCCAAGATACACGGAGGGAAAACTGGGGCAGAGCGCCGTGCTGAGCTAACTGCATGAGGGCACCCCCGTGTAACTGGGTACACTGTGTGCACGTGAACCCACCTGTCTGTAAATGCCCCGCTGGTCCCTGCAGGGGCCCGAGCAGCCAGGACAGGCATGGGCAGCACAAATTCTTCCCACCTGCATCTTTTTATACCATGATTTTTGCCCTCTGGGCTGAATGATGTGGTCTAGCACGTGGAAATCAGACTCCCAGTGGGGCTCAGCCACCCTGGCCTCTCCTCACCCTCTTTGCCTCCATTCTCTAGCCTCTACCGCCTCTGCCAGCCTCCCGTGGACGGAGACCTCTGAGCGCCAACCTGCCCCTGTGCAGCTGCGTCCTCCAGAGGTGGGACTTGGTAGGACACGGTGGGGCCATGCAGGCCTTTTCTGGAGCCGGCCTGCGGTCTGCTGCCACCTGCTCCGGGATCTGCCCAGCTTCCTGTGCTGCCTTCCACGAGGACAAGCCTGTGTCCCCGCTGTTGGGCGGACTGGCTGTTCGGCCCCAGGCCACGTGTTCTCCACACCCTCGCAGAATCCTGATGGGTGCTGGGGACCCACAGACGTGATGGCGCAGCCAGGGCCTGGCTCCTGCTCCCAAGTCCCCACACAGGGAAAGCCGTGGGACACCGCAGTCAGAGGCCCGAAGACCCAGCAGCCCTGGGACTGCTCAACCTGCACTTTGAACTCCCCAGATTCTCCCCGAGTCGACATTCCAGGCGAGCACACGGCTCTCCTCCTCACCTTAGCTTCCAACTCACCCCACCCCTCTACTAACCTGCTCGGTGGACTCGGAAAAGCCGGGCTCCTGCTGGAAAAGACCGAGGGCCAGGGCATAGCACCTAGTACCAAGAAGACACGCGAAAGCCAGCCAGCTCCCAACACCACTGTCAGCCCTGGACACCGGGAGGGATCTGCTCTGACTTTATTTATACGGCGTGAAATCTCTGTGGCTCTTTTTTTTTCTGTCATCATCGTGGTGGTGGTGTTAAGATTATTTTTCCAATCCTTGTGATTATATATTTGACATTTTAAATTTCAAAGAGAAGTATCTTGTCTAACAGGGGACCAACGTAAGGTAGTGTTGATGACTCTTCCCAGTTCTACTAAAGAAAAAGAGAAAAAAGCAAGCGAAAAAGAAAAACTAAATTATTGAAAAAGCATTGTAATGTCAGTATTTCCTCTTTTTTAATGTTAGGGCCATAAGGTGCGATCCCCCTTTCCCCCCCCCGCTAGAACTTTGTGGTCTTTAAACAACTGGCTCCAAGGGTTTGAGAGGTGGCTGGGTTGGGGCGGGGCTGAAGGTTTGAACTGTCTGCCTGAGATGCCAACCCACACAGGCAGGAGAGCCACCAGGAAACACGGGTGGCTTCTGTAATTTATTTTCTGCATTTGAGACTTCTCAGTCAGAGAAAGAGACAGGAAGCCACTCGGTCCACTTTCCGGACAGATGGGGCAACCCAGGGAAACCCAGTTTATCTTCTCAGCTTCTCTGTTCATGCAGAGAAAGAAAGCTGTCTTACCACCCCTGCTTTGTGGATGAGATCGGGTCAGGGGGCTCCTGCTGCCTCTGAGGCCAGAGGGCTGGAAGCCCCCCCGAGATCGTGGCGCCCTCAGCCCCCAGGGCCCACCTTCCCTCCCTGCCTCTGTGCACAGGCTCACAGAGGTGGCCTTCTTACTGTAACTCGTCACAGATGCAAACGAGGACCCACTCAGCCCTGTTACTGGAAATGGAGGCGGGCCCCGAGGGCCAGGGCGTCGTGCACTGGTTTACTTTAAATGTACAGTCTCTTCTCGTTAAATTCATGATAGATTTTTTATTATTATTAAAAGTCAGTTTATAATACAAAGAAGGAGGCTGTGGTCTCTGGGCTCTGATGCTGGGCGTGCTGGATGGAATGAGCTTGCGTTTTTAAAGCCACACGGATGTGTCTGGGGGGCCTTGAGCCAGTGTCCCCTAGGCTGGTGATGTGACCACTTTGTGCCCGAGTTTTCTCCTTAGTGATGGGGACAGGACAGCTATCCTCGCAGGGGAATTGGTGCTACCCAAGACTGCGCCCCTTTGATGAAGGGAGACCGGGGAAAAATGGGCTTCGTGCTGTATTCCAAGTGCGCTTGGACTCCAACCCGCATTTTCCTGCCGTGATGGAAAAATGAGACTGCTGTTTTTCCAGGTGTTCTCTGCCCCTTCCTGGGTGTCTTACATGTGCCAGAGGGGCCAGAGCAGGTCCAGGGAAGGCCCCTGAGTCCTTTTCTGCCCCAGCCTGCCAAGGCCCATTAGAGCTGGGTGCAGGGAGACCTCACTGGTGGGCTGAATTTGTCCAGGCACAGTGGCGGCCATGCCTGCCTGTGGGGCCCTCTCCCACCAG